TAAGCTGAGAAGCTAAGCTATGAGCTAAGCTAACAGGTCGACCTCGGGGGGAAAACCTCCATCTTGTTGAAGCTCCAAAATTCACGGTTGAAGCCCGTGCCTTCGTGTACAAAGTTGTTTTTCTCTGCAAAAAGAAGCTGAGAACTTGTTTACTGATTTTTTTTTAATTAAAAGCTTTGTGTGAAAAATGCTATGCTAAAGAGCTCAAACCACACCGAGCGTCTGCCATTTTGAAAACAGACGCGAGACACCCCATGTCACGTCAAGGGGCCTCCCTCCCATTTTTTTCTTAAAGAGACACAATGCTCGCTCCCTCACTATCCATTCTTCGGTTCAAACAGTCTTATACTGCCATCTGGTGGTTGAAAAAGGTACTACATACAAAACAAATTATTCAACATTTCTTCTTAAATTTGACAATAACTACTAATTATTGTCAAATTTCAAACAATATTATCGTTTATCGCAATAATTTCTGAGCCAATTAATCGCCCATTAAAATTTGTTATTGTGATAGGCCTATTTATGTGTACTTAGAGTTATGCATGTGACTGAGGAATCTATTAGGAACATCAGTAATATTATAATAAGTATTAGATAATCCAATAAGAGCAATATTTTGATCTCAAATTTTTGTTTTCATTTTTGCTTTATGTAGATTTAAGCAGCTTTAAATTAGATTGACCTGATTGAATTTGACATGTTTTCGTACACCTGTGATCAGGACACACGTCATCTCTTGCTTTGTTTGCATGAAATAAATCAAGACAGTGCTGCTTTCTTATTTGAATAAACTGAAGGGGGGGAATGCTTCATATTCAGACGTGTTATCATAAGCTTCATCCTGGTTCTCCTCTGTGTGTATGACATTTTACAACCCAGACTCCTGACCCCTCGGATATACTTCACTGCCACGGTGACCTGAGGAGACCTCCGTGATGACTTTCCCAGGAAATTGACGGCAGAGTTCTGCTTTGTGTGATCTCAGAACAGCTCCTGTCAACAAGTTACCTCTGACAGCTGGTGGATGAAAAAGGCACGTGATGATTTTAGGGATGTAAAAGGAACATGTTTCCAAGACAGAAGATGAGGAGGGAGCCAATCCAAGGGTCATAAATCTCAACTTTAGATCAAGAAGAGGTGGTGAGAAATAATCTTGGGTTTTCTTCCTAATTGGATCATAAAAAAATTATATATTTTATATTTGTTCCAGTCTGTGATGGATAACCATGAATACTTTATGCTGTTCATTCTACCCAAACCCAGAGTACACAAAAATCTCCCACATTTATTTACTGATGATTGTTTAGCACAGATTAAAAGACGTAAATTGATTAGATAACACAAGCATGACTGCAGATTATTCTGACTTTGCTGTTGTGATGTAATCCTAGATGAGGGAAATGACTGGTGTCCACTTTTGGGTGTTTATCTACTCAGAGATTGGGGCAAACTTAAAATTACCAACAACCTTCATGTCCTTTCACTGGAATTTTAGAAGCAAACTAAAACTGAGCTCCTGAAATTTAGATGTTTGCTATTAACCAAATTTGAGTTCCACAAGTTGAAAAATTAATTCAAGAGATTGGATATTTTAAAGACATGTTCTGTGAAGTAATGAATAATTAATATCTTACCTGCTGTAGATATCTCGTGTGACAGGACTGATTAATTAGTCCAAGAACAACCAAGACCAAAAAGGACTGCTGCCGCCCTAAAACAACTCAAATCTCAAAGATTTCATAGTGTTTGGTGTGAATTCTTTATAATTCTTTATTTTCCTGTCAATTTCATTTCAGACATTTATTTATCTAAGTGCTGATTACCAGTGATAGTCCAGGTGAAGCACATATTACAAAACGTAATATGTTAGAGCCAAATGTGACAGAAACTATTTTTGACTCAAAAAGAAGTGTGGTTGAAAAAGTAAAGAAAAATATAATAGTGATGGCGGCACAGAGGAACAGTGGTTAGATTAGGCCAGTCACAATGACAAATTTTGCTGGGCGATTAATTGTCTCAGAAATTATTGCAATTAACAATAATATGGTTTGTAATTTGACAATAATTAGTAATTATTGTCAAATTTAAGCAGAAATGTTTAATTTGTTTTGAGTGTATTACAGTTTTTGACCACCGGGTGGCAGTATAAGACTGTTTGAACCGAAGGATGGATAGTGAGGGAGCGAGCAGCGTGTCTCTTTAAGAAAAATGGGAGGGAGGCCCTTTGACGCGACATGGGCCATCTCTCCTTCCTTTTTTTCGGTTCTCAAAATGGCGGACACTTAGTGTGGTTTGAGCTCTTTAGCATAGCATTTGTCACACAAAGCTTTTAATTTTAAAAAAATATCAGTAAACAAGTTTTCAGCTTCTTTTTGCAGAGAAAGTCAATTTTTTACACAAAGGCACGGGTTTCAACCGTGAATTTTGGAGCTTCGACATGAAGGAGGTTTTGTTCCCCGAATTCGGCCTGTTAGCTTAGCTCATAGCTTAGCTGCTTGTAACAATCCAAAAACTCGATTTTGAACGGTTAAAATGGATTTTAAAGAATAAAGAGAAAGGGAGGGGTCAGTAAAGAGCTCTGGAGTTGAACCTTTTGTCATCCAGTGTCTTCGGAAAGAGAGACACGAAGACTCGATAAAGCCGATAAATGAAAATGAGGTTGATAATTTTAAATTATCATGTGATTACTTGATTTATCATTTATCGTGACAGGCCTAGGTTAGATCGGCTTTCCGTCTTTCTGGATGGGTTGCATGTTCTCTCCGTGCATGTGTGAGTTTTCTCCGGGTACTCTGGTTTCCTACCAACAGCATGCTTGTTAGGCTAATTGGTAACTTGGTAAAGTAATTTAAAGAGCTTTCTACAACAGGTGAGATACTGACTCTGTAACTTTAACAAAAACTAACATGGGGATGAAGAAACTTTCCACAGATCACCACTTCAAATCAAAGTAGCCTACAAAGCGCTCACAAGAAAGTCACGTGTCTTTTTCTCATGAGCCGGGACACTGGCTGTCTGTCCCTTTGAGTGTATTTGTGTGAGAGTTTGTGTTTCCCCCTTCTGTCCTCTCTGTGACACCATGACGAAGCCCAGCTGCAGGCTAAATGGGACATATGAGCATGACATAAAGGCAACAAAGACCAATTTATAACTCCGTTCAACAGTCATAACTCGAACAGTGTTGCACAAAATTTACACGGATGTTACTTTAAATCTTCTAAAATTGGACTTACAACTTTTAAAAAGCAGATAAACGCAGACTCAGCTTTTAAGCAAAGGTAGGCAAGTATCAATAAACTGAGTGAAAGTCAAACATAGTCAAGTTTTCAAAAACACATTCATACACAAATATTTGTTGTAAAATACCTAACAGAGGTGCTTTTCATAGTGAGCCTGGAAAGAGTTACAACCCATCTGTAAGTACCATTCTCCTAAATATATGACCAGAAGCAGCAAACAGCTATTGATTAGCTCAGGGGTCGGCAACCTGCAGCTACATGTGGCTCTGAGGTCTCTGTAGCTTTAACAAAAACCAACATGGGAGGATGAAGAATATTTAAGGCTATAAGCACGACAGAAAACAATATGCTGAGTCATTCTGAAAACATGGAGACATACAAGTGACGGCTTACCTTTTGTAAAAACTGTGAATAAAATTTAAAGTAAATTAAGGTTTCTGCTACAACGGAGGGAACATTTTCATGTCACAATAGAATATTTAAGAGACTGGACTATTTCATATCTTTAACTGCAGTAATATTACTTTAAAGTAGGGTGTTTATATAATTTTCCACAAATATAGAAAGGACTGACAAATGCCAACATTTAGGGTTTAAATTTCACCAATGGGTGTATACAGATATTTGTTTGTTCGCTTGTTTTGTTGTAAGCATTTGACCTTTTCTTTGCTCTATTACATAAAAATACCAATAATTGTCCCGTTAGGATTAAATTGTTTCTCCAAACAAAAGTAGTTTAATATCTACAACAGACTAAAACAGCTGTACAGAACCCATGTTGTCAAGTGACTGGTATAGTTTGTTTAACTCAGCATGGCCAAAGTGAAACAGGAAGTGACATCAACGAGGAATTCTTTAAAAAAGGAAAACTTCCTGGTCTTTGTTTTTTTTAAATAATCTTATTTGAACTCTCTCTCTCGCTGATAGTGGCTAAAAATAATCTAAAGAAACATCAGAGTCTTCTCTACTGTCTGTGTTGTTTGTCAATGAAGCAATGCTCAGTTCAAGTGCAGGCATCATCACTTCCTGTTACAGCACATCTGAATATCTCAACAGCTGTTCAGCTCATTATTAATGTTATCTATCCAAAAATGCTTTTTTTTATTGATGTCACGAGCACGTTAAAGTCAAGTTACTTTGTTTTTATTTATTTATGTACTTCCTGGATGACTGAGAATCTTCAAGCACATTTTGCAGCTCTGGGTAAGTTTTATTTATTTAGAAATGAAGCAAAAAAAATTATTTTAGCTGGAAAGACCTCTGCTTGAGGTGAACCAGGCTCATACTGCTCTTGTTATAAATCGAAATACATTTTGAAAAGACTTCCCGGTGAGGATTACTTGCAATAATAAACTACAAGAATGTCTTAATTAAATAAGTTGCGTCCCCCATGTCTGGGTTTGGCCTTGGGCCGCAAAAACACTAAATCCGCCTCTGCTCCTCATTTTTATCCTCTAAATCTACAAGTTTATTGTCTCACTCCCGGTCAAACATTTAAGTTGTATTGAAACTTTCGTCATTTTTCCGGTTGATTCTCTTCTTTTAACCTGATGACACAACTTGTGACACTTGCTCACCGTCTCCTGCTCGTCGCGTTCGTTTAGATGGAAAGTGTTTTGCGCGCGCGGATTTGTGCGTTTCCACGAAGTTAAAACCGGACACGGATCTGAACTGAAACCCCCTGGATGTTTCTGGTGTGTGTCGCCGGGTTTAACAGTCCTGATGAGTGTCGGTGCGAGCGGAGGCTTTTGTTCTTACCTTGTAGGAGTGATGATGGTGCCACGACATGTCGTCCTCCTCTGACGCATAATCCACCAGGACTTTACTCTTCGTTTTCTTGAACATGTCTAACAACAGCTGCCTCTGACGTCTTAAAACAAACCACAGGCTCGGCGGCGACAAATAAATAAATAAACAAATAAATAACAACAACGAAGACGAACTGAACTTTCCTCCGCTGAGTTCTATGGAGAGATGGCAGGAACGCCTGCAGCTCTTCAGGTTCTTCCCTCCCCAGCTGTAAATCCTGTCTTTCTCTTCTCAACCCCCCCGGAAAACGGCTCATTCAGAGAGGAACAGGGAGCGAGTGCTTCTTTAAGGCTTTGGAGTTCGGTGCGTTTTTACGCAGAACTGACTGGACCACCTGGAGCTCTGGCTCCTCCCATTACCCCCCCCCCCCCCCCCCCCCCCCCCCCCCCCCCCCACCCGGCTCCTTAAGGAGGGGGTCATATCTGTGGCCCAAAATAAACAGTGGTCTTCAGAAGACTTGGACCAAATCAAATAAGATAATCTGATTGTTTTTCTCAGAAGTCCGATTTTATTCTCATCACTTTGAGGTTCTGGGAGTAAAGTTAAAATTTACAGAGAAAAGTCAGAGTTTTGACTTTATCCTCAGAATTTATGAGAAAAAAAATTATAACTTTAACCTCAAAATTCTGACTTGAAAGTCTAAATTCTGAGAGTAAATTTGGAATTCTTAGAAATACCTCAAGAATTCTTTTGGGCCTGTCAAGTAATTAAAACTTATTAGGGGATAGATTCAGTACAAGATATTGGAACTATAGACTCTAGAAAGTAAAGTTTTGGTTTTTGGACTCATGCCTGAAGGATGGTCAAAATATTTGTTTAAAATTTTATTAGGGGGCGAGCAAAAAAAAGCCCTTATGAAAAATTGTCTTTCACTGGAGAGCCCAACATTGAACACATCTGGACATCACAATGGACGTGTACAGGATGGAGAGAATAACTGCAGAAGTAAATGATGAAAAGCACCGATTTACTTTACGCTGGAAGAAAAGGATGGTTTATATAAAATCACACAAACCAGATCTAGAGCAATTTCTGAATGATATATTGATTGTAAAAAAAAAACCACTTTCACTCCTTTTGTGCTATTGTGTTATTTTTGTTGTTAAAAAAAAAAAAAACATTTAAATGGATGCTTTACTAACACCGTATTTTTCGGACTATAAGGCGCACTTAAAATCCTTTAATTTGCTCAAAAATCAACAGTGATCCAGTGCGCCTTATGGATTAATTGTGTTCACTGACCTCGAACTGATTTTATGTGGTACACGGTGCTCAAAAATCTGTCAGAAGGTTTTAGTTTTGCTTAATGGGCTTTATAATCCAGTACGCTTCATAGGCCGGAAAATACGGCATTTAAAGTGGATGTACATGTAAAATATGTTTATAAATGTCAATTAAAAAATGTATAAATTAAAAAAATAGAATTCTAATAAAATGACTAATAATTATTCACCTTGGCACTAATTGTCTTCCATATAGTTATGCCAAAGATTAAAGCTGACCTTTTTTTTTATGTTTCTGTTTTACATGTTTTTGAAACTAATCTGAAAAACATGATAATTGTCACCAGATGAGTTGCCATCACTCACATGTGTCAATATTTCCTAAACTGTCAAAGAACTGTTCAATCACAAAAACGGAGAGACTCAAAATTACATTTAAGTTAGATTTTTTTTTTTTTTTATCCAGCCATTTAAAAAAAAGTTTGAGCTTTTCAGTTTTGGAAGCAACACACACAAAAACGAGTTTTGGTCAAAGGTCATCTCACTTGACTTTATCTCTTGAGATTTTAAAGGAAAAGAAATGTTCTGAGATACTGTAGGTCCAAGGAGCAGACAAGATTTATCTGTCAGAGCTTGTTCTGTGCTTCTTGTTTGGGAGTCCTTGACATGGAAAATCTAGATTATTTACCGTACACAGAGACTGTTTGTTGCTTAAAGCATAAGCCACTGTACGCTCCTCTGAGTGTGTGTTCATCTAAAAACCATCTAAAGCTTCTGACACGTGTGGGGAAACAAACAACTCATTATGCTGCTGGGCTGACCCCTCCAAGGAGCCTCAGCCCCGGTTAAGACGACGCACCTGACTGAAAGAGCCTTAAAGTCCTGCCTCAACGTCCGCATCGAAAATAAATCAGTGTGCAAGACCTTGTAGGAAACACGACCCTTGTCAGCTGAGCCACAGAATGTTTTATTTTTTATATTTATGTAATGGTCTGATTAGCTAAAGTAATGTTTCTGACTGTTTTCAGTTTCCCTGATAAAAGTTTGCTATTAGCTTGTTCTGTGTTAGCTGATAAAAGCCATGGCTGGTTGTCAGGACGTGACCTTTGACACTGAAGACCACTGATCCACTGGACCAACTTTCCCACAGCCGTTTGTCTCTATAGTCAAGGTGGCTTCAGTGTCCATGACCCGCGATAAACAACAAATCAATTAATCACGTGAGAGATGAAAATCATCGACCTCATTTTCATTTATCGGCTTTATCGTTTCTTCGTGTCTCTCTCTTTCTGAAGGCACTGGAAGACAAAAGTTCAACTCCGGTGCTCTTCACTGACCCCTCTCTTTCTCTTTAAAATCTATTTTAACGATCCAAAAATCACGTTTTTGGTTCGTTAAAAGCAGCTAAACTGAGAAGCTAAGCTAACAGGCTAACCTCGGGGAAAAAATCTCCGTCTTGTCGAAGCTCCAAAATTCACGGTTGAAACCTGTGCCTTCGTGTAAAAAGTTGTTTTTCTCTGCAAAAAGAAGCTGAGAACTTGTTTACAGGTTTTTATTAAAAGCTTTATGTGACAAATGTTATGTTAAAGAGCTCAAACCACACCAAGCGTCTGCCATTTTGAGAAATGAAAAAAAGGAAGGAGAGACAGCCCATGTCATGTCAAGGGACCTCCCTCCCATTTTTCTTAAAGAGACACGCTGCTCGCTCCCTCACTATCCATCCTTCAGTTCAAACTGCCTTATACTGCCATCCAGTGGTCAAAATAGGTACTACACTCAAAACAAATTAATCAACATTTCTTCTTAAATTCGACAATAATTACTAATTATTGTTAAATTTCAAACCATATTATTGTTAATCGCAATACTTTCTGAGACAATCGCCCAGTAAAATTTGTTATCATGACAGGCCTTGTTCACACTGAGATCCGTTTTTCTTCTGCACGCTTTTCGGCATGAAACTCGTTCCGTAACTTTTGTGCTATGTCAATGATTCATATAAAAACGTGCAACTTGTTGAGGATGTTTCTGCTATGACTTTTGGTATTAGTGCAAATTTTACTTTTAGAAATATCTTATCTTTGTTGGTGATTTTGTTGTTATTAAAAATTAATGGAACTCTCTTCACATCCTTAGAACCCTTTGTGCTGTTTATAACCTTTTACTGCTCATTTCAGCTTTTGTTCTGGTTCAGCTTTTCTTCAGCTTTGTTGTGCTAATTTCAGCTTCCTTCGGCTCCTTGCAGCTTTTTTCAATTATTTTTCTGCTCCTTTCAGCTTCTTTCTACGAAATTCAGCTTACCCCCCCCCCCCCCCCCCCCCCATTTTTCAGCTACTTTTTAAATATTCTCAGCAATTTTTGTGCTAATTTCTATCTTTGGTCATTTGTTTGAACAATTTAAACTTGTTATGCTTTTTTTAGCCTCTGTCTTGCTCATTTTAATTCTTTTCCTGCTCATTTCAGTTTCTTATTTGCCATTTTCAGGTTTTTGGTCATCTATTCAACCTCTCTTTTAGCTACTTATTTCTGCTACATTTCTACTTTATTCAGCTTTAAAAAAAAAAACATTAGCTGTTTTTCAACTGCTTTCTGCTTTAATTTTCCTGCTTTCATGTCAGATGTTTAAATTTAACTTGCATTAACAGTTTGGTGACTAAACTTTTTTTTTTTTAATCCAGGTTTCAGCTTCAGCAGCTTTCAGCAACAGTCCTTCAGCAATAAAAATTCACTCTGCGTTTTCACAGAAAATGCATTTTCTCTGATTATTATCATGACTTATATTTATATGACATGCTGACTGGTTGGTGTATTTTTCTGCTGTAAACACATTCGTATTTTATATTGTTTTAAAACTTAAATTGGGATTAACCGCGAGCTATAATCTACAAGACATACCTTTTATAAAACTCACTGGTTCTTCTTTTTCCTAAACACTACTTTAATTGTTTTGTCCTCTTTGGTTTAGAAATGTCTGACTGTTAATCTGCTTCCTGTCCTCCCCACCACACCTGTTTCTCAGGTTATTTCTTGTAATCTGCGCTTTGTTCAGATCAGTACATGTATGTTTCTCTGTGTTCAGCTCCTGTTTGCTCTGATGGGTCCACTGGTCCACTGGTCCACTGGTCCACTCGCCTTGGACCAAGAAGTGATGGAAGTTTTTGCCAGAAATTGAGTATCTGTTTACGTTTTTCCCTTGTGATTTCCAGAGGACAGTTAGTTTCTAAGTGGCGTCAAGGGCTGTTTTTCACTTTTACACCTGCGTATCCCGGGCCTGCTTGACCTTTGCTATTGAATAATCTTGGGATTTTGGACTTTGACCTGTGGAGATCAAAAGTCATGCTCCCTTGTTTTGTTTTTCTCTATTTTTTTTAAATTCACACAATTATTACAGTTTTGATTAACTAAACCAATGGTAGGTTAAGCTGTCGTTTATTTTTTAATCCGTCTTAATTTGTGTGTGTGTGAGGGGGGGGGGGGGGGACAATTAGGCAACGACTTTCAAATTAATACAGTGCTTAGTTCAGGTTATAATGTTTTCTTTTTTTAAGTAGTGAATATACTATACCATCTTCGAGAGGAAGGTGAACAAAGTTTGTGATAAATACCTTCAAATACCTTTATGATGCATCTGATTGATTAATTTATAATTTAACTCTCATTAACCAACAGGAGTCACATTTGATCATTGGAGCCCAATCTGATCGGCTCAGTATTGACAGCTGCCACAGTTTACTGTACGCCTGTGATGTTGAGGACATTTAAGCTGCCGTTACATCAGCTGTTCTGATCTTTGAGACAGGAGGTCAAGTCTGGCGCGGTCAAACCGTCATGGAGGAGCACAGCTGGGATTATCCAGCCTGCCTTTTCAGACAGATCTAACTCTCATCCAAACAGCTGACCTGGGCCGTTCAGGACTTCTTGGACACAGATAATTAACTCATTTTGCTTCACCATCATTTTCCAACATGTGAGATAGAGCACATTGTTTTAAACTGTTATAACAAAGTCTATTTATTGCAGAACATATAT